TCCCTCCAGAGCACAATTCAGACCATGGATGGGATGCTTTCAGCTGTTGCCTGTGTTAAGGAAAGTTTCAGCAAAAAGAGAAACTCAGAGAGTTTTCAGGCTCTTTACACGAAAGCAACAAGTATGTGTGAAACACTCCATCTCACTCCTATTGCCGCTCCTCGTGTTTGTATCCCACCTCAGCGCTTCACAGGTAATGCTCCTGCACATGTACATGTGTCCCCTTCTGACTACTACAGGACTGAAAGTTCTGGATGTTGCTGATATGCAGTTTAGAGAAAGATTTGAGCAGGAAGGAATGCAAATGTTAAGGCACCTGGAACAAGTTCTATTAACTGGAAAAATACATGTTGTTGTCCAACAGTACCCAGAAATCAACCCAGACATCCTCAAAGTTCAGCTTGCATTGTTCAGAATGAAGTACAGCTTCCAGTCTAGTACTGAAGTTGTTGCAGTTCTTCAAGGAATGACCCCAGAGGTCCGTGGTCTCTTTGACCAAGTCAAAACAGTTGCCCGACTCCTCCTAGTTGTGCCTGTGTCATCAGCAGAGTCAGAAAGGAGTTTCAGCAGCCTCCGGAGGCTGAAAACATGGCTACGCAGCACGATGACCCAAACTCGCCTCAACAGTGTTGCTGTGTGCCATGTACATAAAGACAAGCTGGACAGGGTAAACAGAAAAAAGGTTGCTGAGCAGTTTGTCTCTTGTAAGGAGAGCAGAAAGAGCACTTTTGGTTCTTTTAAATGAGAGATATAGTTGGTCATATATTATTTGGTCAGTTGTTGTTGTTGGTTGCATTTATATATGTACATAGTTGTTTATATTTTTGTTCTGAATATACAGTATGTTGTTTGTATGAAATGTTGTCTGTATGTGACAGGCAGATGCCCACCACTACTACCCCCCCCCCGAAAGGAAGACCACTAGTCCGACTACGCCACCCTGGGCCTCCCACCCAAGGATTTACCGACACGTACACACCCCACCCACTAGTTCTATCAGTAACTGTTGTAGAGACGTGACTTGGACAAAAGATAAAAACACACACTTTTATTCACACCACAGCAAAGATAAAACAACCTTAACAATACAGGAATAAACGTAACACAGATAAAACACGCTGCGGAGTCTTGATTCCTCGTAAATCCCCCAGGCAGGGAGGCAATATGCGCTAGAAGGGGACACAACCACGCGTTCAAAGGTACTACCCGGCCGCTAGCACTAACAAATCACGACATTACCCCAAACCTAAAACAAAACCCACACCGCATGAATCACACACAAACCCGAGCGGCCTCTTATACCCAAGGCTTCCGCCCCACAGCGTATACGGCCACCCCCAGCCCAGAACCACAGAAAACAATCCGAATCAAAGCAGAAAAAACATCCAAACAAACACAAACAAACTCCATAAATTTATACATCAAACAAAACCAAGAAACAATCCTTAATTATCCCAAAATACATCCATAAAATAACCCAAACATAAAAAAACCCACAAATATCAAATAAAACCCCTGGACCAAATGAAAAGTATAAGACAAACCAAGGCAAAGCAGCAGGGCGGAACAATAGCAAGACGGTAGGAGCGAAGCAACCAGACAAAACGTAACAGAAAACAAGACCAAATAGCCACCAAACAGCAGCTACACAACAGAACAGGACAGCAGCTACACAGCAGAACAGGACAGCAGCTACCCAGCAGAGCAGGGCATCCGTCAAGCAGCAGGGTAAAGCCACGAGGTACAGCGGCAGGGCAGCACAGCCTAGAAGCAATCATAAACCCCATAAGCACATTTCCAGCTAATCACATTACCGCAACCTAAGTTTACTTTACCCAATCCGGAGACCAGATTCACTCTCCCCACACACCACTCCAACCGCCCGTCCTCGATACCTACGAAGCATGCAGGAATTAATAGGCTGCTTTACAACAGATAGCGACACCCAAAATTATTCATCTCCTACCTTTGGCCCACAAGCCTCGCAAATACCTCCGCTTACGTTGGTCCAAACTGACACTAGACACTTGCCCACACCAGTCTAAACGTCGCCCTTACGGCAGCGCACAAACACTAACCGGAAACCCATGCGTTTTAATAGGCAAAGATCTAAAAAAACCCGGACGTCTTTTAATTAAACTGAAGAGCTACACCGGTCAAAGATCACGCCCCCCTGATCCAAATTTACATACCCAACAAGGGAGAATCAACTCCTCTCAACATACTACCATGTATATTTGGAGCAACAAAATAATTTCTCCCTGAGATTATTAAAGCATTTCTGATTCTAAATCTTTAGCAAGTCTAGCAAGTGTGTTCTGAGTGTGTTTTCACTATCACTCATTGATGTGATCACTATCACTCATTTAAATTGAAAGCTTTTTATATCTTGTATGTTAATACCTTTTGTACCCTTCTGTCATTGTATTCATCATTTTTATTGTTAACAAACAAACCACATTCATCCCCCACACTTTTGAAAAGCTTGCTACGCCCCTGCTTAGGAATGTCTTCACTTTGCCTTGTGGTGTTGTCCTGACTTCAATTTTGCGAACCTTCCCATCACTGCTCGGGATGATGGGAGTGACCAGACCCATTGGCCACTCATTGCGAGGTGATTGGCTCTGTTTAAGTAGCACAAAGTCTCCAATTTGAAGATTTCGACACGCTGTCTGCCACTTTCGCCTTGGTTGAAGAGTGTGGAGAGACTCATTTCTCCATCTGGCCCAAAACTCATTTGCTAGTGCCTGTACTCATCTCCACTGACACTTGAAAAGATCCCTGTTGTCAAAACTGCTGGCTGGAGCAGGCACCCCTAGTTTTTGGGTTAAAAGCAGAGTGGGGGTCAGCATCATTGGCAGGGCTGGACTGGGACCAAAAAATGGCCCTGGCATTTTTTGGTCATGTCGGCCCACTACGATTATTTATACGATATGCGACATACCAGAGGATATATGTGATATATGTGAACGTTGTGTGATTTCAAAAATTAAAATAAAGTGCAGCAGCTTACAAGGAAGAGAGTAACCATATTAAAAAAAATTGATATGCTCTTTCACAACTCAGGAATTCATCTTGGGAGAGATGGCTACAGTGTCACAATTCCCACCTTGAAGTGAAAGTGGATGTCAAAGAAACATAAACATATTCTCAAAATGCGTCCATGCATTCGGGTAGGCCTATAGCCCATTCAAGTGTCATGTAGCCTAACTTTTTATACAATTTAGACAGCACAGAATCATTAACCTACTTTAACGCATTTATTTATACAACCACATATTTCTCACATTTTGACATCAGTGATGCAGTGGAGATACAGTCTGTTTATTTCTTGACGCCAACCCTCCTCATTAATCCGGGCTTGGGACCGGCACCTAGCTGAGCTGGCTTGCTCCCTTAAGTGGCTGGGTTAGGCTAAACTATATACATATTTACAAAGACTACAATACAACATCCCGAAATATGTAGTCTAACAAAACGCAGTTTAAAGAAGGTAGCCTACCTGGCGAAATTGCAAACAAACAAATTAAAATGTCCACGGCATATAATCGGGCCATATCTAACAAAAAGCAGTTTTTAAGAACGTAGGCTGCATAGCGAAATTGAATTACTTTCTGGACCAACATACGCAACAGTCGTCAGACGGATGAGGACGTTAGGCAGCCTTTAGATCCTACCCATCATGCACTTTTTGCAGTTTTTTGCAAATACCTGAAACGGAAAACCATTAAATACAAAAGGAACAGCTTAGTTTGACTTCAAAACATTACTATATATTATATTCTAAGTTTGTTGTAGGGATTTTACAGGTTTTTCTTTTTTAAATTAAAAATTAAACCATAGACCCACCATAATAAGAATGTATAACAAAAATGAGAGATATATAAAATTGCAAGTCAGAGATAAAACATAGGTATCATATCTTATTTTCTGAAAGCTCGGAAGAAGTTACCTCAGTATAATTTTTTATGTATTTAGTATATGGGAGCGGCCCCTACGATCCAGCGGAGGGCCCCGGGTCGGCCCAAAAATGTGCGTCGGCCCACCGGGCATTTGCCCGGTACGCCAGATGGCCAGTCCAGCCCTGATCATTGGCGAAGAGGGATCGGAGGAGATCGGGGCTAATGGTCTAGCATTGATTATGGCAGACATTTCTGCCATCAGAGTGCAGAGCACTTTGTGAGTCAGATGAGTATATTTAACTCACAGCAACATTGAGTCGAGTATCCTCCGGGTTACACCAATCATGCGCTCCCACACACCCTCCATGTGAGATCATTCTCTTGAAGGTACTTTTGAATACTAGCTTGATTTGGAAGGTCTCGTTCCATGCCCAGTTCAAAACTGGCTCCGACGAAGTTTGTACCTCGATCTGATCTCAACTGTTTTGCTGGTCCCCTTAAAGCAAAGAACCTATGCAGGGCGTTTATGTAACAGGGTTATTCAACTCACGGTCCTCGAGATCCGAGCACTGCTGGTTTTCCAGCCTTCCTTTACCTGTCAGTCAGGTGTGA